GGGGAAAGTAAGTAGTGTAGCATGATAGCGAGGCCGTCCTTTCACCCCACCCTTCTCCCTCCCATCAAGTAAGGAACCTCTGAGTTACATCCTCGTCAGGGGCGGCGATTCGTGTCCAGCGCGACTCGTTTGATATGATGAAGGGGCTAAAGCAAACGTAACCGAGCCCGCACTTTCTCAAGCGAGAGGGGCACTGTTGGAGCCATCGTGGCCGAGATAGAGGAAGCCACTGGGAAGGCGGGCAATGCCCGGACGACGCGACGAATCGTTGCTGGTCGTGGAGGACTGGCTGCTGGAGCGCTCACGAGGGTGTTGGGCCGTTGTAGCCGTGAGGGGGCCGTTGTGGATAGGGGCCAGAACGAGGAAGCGGGAGGAGGTAGTCTCGGTGTACATGTTGATGATGGTTGATGGATGGTGATGAGATTGGGAGCGTAAGGTGTTTCGATTTGAGGAGGATGGATGGTGGTAGAATTTTGGTGACAATTATGCTAGACTACTTATCCAGAGACGATGTCTTGTGAAAGAGATTCAGTAGATATTGAGTAGAGAGGAGAGAGCTCTGAAGTTTGGGGGGAAACGCTTCTTCAGACTGGGTTTTGTGAGACCCTTTTATAGTATAGAATGGGAAGGCGTGAAGGAGGGGGAGCTCGGAGCAAACATGTCGATCAAGCAGCAGATTTCCGACTAGCCCACCTGCCTGCATGATTGCAGCCTTTGGGCGCGATAACGACATTCCCACTCCTATCCGAGGGGGAGCCGGGGGAGCCGGGGACAGGGTGGGTATATGAGTGATGGTGGTGCTGGTGGTGCTGATTCGTAATGCATCATGTTTGGGGAGAGAGCTTCACATGTGCCGACGATGCCAGTGGAGAGAGGGTGTGGTGTGGAGGAGGTGTGGAGGTGTGGAATAGAATTAACCCATGGAGGGGCAGAAAGAACGTCATCTCCATCTTTTCTCCCCTCCCCCTTCCTTGCCAATCCACTAGGGCCAAAGTTAAGACCCGTAAAATCGAACACGCTGTCTCTGCCGAGAGTTCTGGTTGGACAAACCGCGAGGATCGATGGAGATTATAGGCGTAGACGAAGGGGGAAATGTTTCGCAAAAGGACAGCTCAGGGATCTCAGCCTCGGATGATCAGCAACCAAGACTGTAGATAGTGGACAGCCAAGACACTATCGAGGGTCCCGTGACAACATTCTGGTGACAAGAGGAGATTAGTAGATCAGTGGTTCACAAGCCAAGAAGATAAAAAATGACGATACTGACTGAGTAGGTGAGTAGGCGAGTAGACGAAGGTAGGAGAAGATGTGGTCTTGCCCCTTTGGGATTCCTTCAGACCACATGACTAACCCCTGTGTTGCTTCTGCTTCAGTCTTCTTTTTCTTCTTCTTCTTCTTCTTCTTCTTCTGCTTCCAGTTCGCCTCGCCACCTTCTAGAACCACTCGCTCACTCACACACGCACACATTCCCTCTCCTTTCATTTCCCGTCCACTCCACATTCTCCCATCGCCTCGATCGGGCTTGCATTCGGGAAGATAAGCGAGCTGCGATCCCGTGCACTATTTTCCATCCCTTGCCGGCAATCGAAGGTTCCGCGGAGTTTCCCAAGCCAGTTCGAAGAATGGAGGCCAGGCCATCAGGTTGTCTTAGTTCTCCATTGAGACACTGCGACAATCCGTGGCCAGACCTTTTGGCCAGAGGCACGATGGACAGATAGTAGTTCGACTGACCCCCCCCCCCCCCACCCCCTTCAAAAAAACATTGGAGGAGCAACCCTTGGAGTTGAAATAGGACCAGCACCGCCCAGCTGCAGGGGCGCAGATGTGACGAAACCCAAAGGAATTGGCAGGCGGCTCAAGTAACAACCCCAACAGTCACGTGGTCTGAACCACCTGCGAGAATTGCGGCGATTGGGAGTAAGCTGAAGAGATGCAGCACCATATTTCAGAGAAAGTTCAGTCAGTTTCTCAGTCTGCCTTTCCAGTACGAACGTTGCTGAGGTCGGGAGCCAACGGCGGCTAGAGGAGGCCGTGCCCTCCACCCAAGGCCCATCGGCCGTCCCCGTTTTAGCGCCCCCAGGTCCTACGCCGTATCGCCTGAAGTGGCGCGGACCCTCGGCGGTTGAAAGCACAATAAGACATGCAGAGAACTCCCCCCAGAGCTGCTGCTCTGCTCCTTGAGCTTCCAATGTACCTGCGACTGCTGTGCCGGCACACACAAAAGTCAGGTCTCAGCCCCAAGTGTTAATTGTCTGGCCTAGCTGCTGGCTGTGGTGACAACGCAAAATCGATAGGTGGAGGGTGCGTGGCACTGCTCAAATTCCCAGGTGCGCATTGATCGATCGACTGGCTTTGAATCACACCAACATCACGAATCAGACGGAGCTATGAAATGGATACGCTCAACGTAGACTCAAAGCGCTCGTCGGTTCTTGTGCTAACCTACCATCGGCAGGCAGGTGGGAGAACCTTAATGATATTCCTCGGACACAGGAGAGGAAACCAGAAGTGAAAGAAAACGGTGAAATGCCCGGAGTCTCGCTTAGCCATTGATATCACCAACCGCGTCAAGGTTCTGGGTGTCATACATTGGTCGACTGGAAAGCAAGGGCCTTCAGTTACCTGTGATGACGGAGTGGCTCATGCAGATTCGTCGCCTTAGCTTCCGCTACTTGTCCCCAGGATTCTCTGATATGCCTTGTGGATCTGTTAGATATTTGTGGTCTGAACGTGGGTCAGAAAGCGTGCCCAGGAACTGCGCCAACCCCTGACAGGAGCAGGTGGCTCATCGATCAACTATTACCACGCAGCCTTCCGGCCGAGCACCGTCTAAGTGTCCACCAAGACCGGCAGGTGGGGGATTACTGAACCTTGATATCGGTGCGATCATATTGGCTTGCTCTACGATGTCATCCTTGCTTCCCCTCTCCCCCAGTTACCCAGGCCTCCCGAACACATGATAGACAGTGACCTGCGTTGCTGAACGCACTTTGTGGATGACAGGCTCCTCAACCTGCAGCATGACGTGCGTCAGATGCTCCGTTTCGAGCTCTGCCCGAGTTGCGGCATGACCCCATACATATACAGAACTGTTGGATCGTTGACGCAAGCTGATTTGATCGTTGATCTGGTTGGCCTTCCATCTGCATATGTGACCGACCTTCCCTGCTGCAGGGGTATCGTAATTGTGAAGATGATGTCAACTTCCCTCGATGCAGCTGCGGAAGTTTAATATTCCCTACGACAAGGGTTTTCCAATGATTTCCGGCTTCATGCATGACCTTTGTTAGTCACATTCGTTCATTTCCTTCAATGGGGAAAGGATGCCCCCCAGGCTGACCTCAGGTGGCTGTTAACTCAAGAATAATCTGCATAACCGCCAATTATCGAGGGTATGGTAGTGGTGGTGTAGTCACTGGCAGAATCCGGAGAGTATCAATTGCAGGCCCGCTCTACGAGTGGATTGCGGATGTGATGTAGACCGAATCGCCAACTGTTTACGGCACAGACTCTCATCTGATCCAGAAAGAGCGTCACTCAATGGCAAAGTGAGACCTTGAAAGACACAATACACGAAAAGGGAAATGCGAGCAAGACAGAGGAGAAAAAGCGAGAAGAAGGGAAAAAAAGCAAAGGAACATGCATGCGTAGTGTAGTTTCTCGTTCCTTGCTAACTAACCTTCTTCTTACTTCTTTTCTACCACACTTCTAGCGTCTCGACATGTTTCTTTTTCCTATTTCTTATTTCTTTCATTGTTTTCAATTTTAATTTCCCCCTCTCGCATGATCAACTGAGAGTGTCATTGGAATTATTATAATTATTATTCTTATCATTATTATTATTGTTATTATTATTTCAGTTTCGATTTCTTTTGAAAGTTCGCAGCTTGGGTCACAGTTGCTGGGCCATCTTGATCAGTTGGCGTAGAAAGGCTTGTTGCGGCACAGTCGACCGCAGTCATTCTTTATCACTTGGAGATTTTGGAAGTCTGCGTCCATCAAACCGCGAGATTTTTTTATTTAAGGCCCTGCACAACCCGGCCAGAGATTCAATTTCATCGGCAACATCAGCTTTCCTCTCCGCGACTCAAATCAGCACTTCCTCTGAGCTCTTAAGCCTCCTTCTCCACTCAATCTCGAAACCCGTTTGAGCCCTCTGCCACTATCACAAGTCAATCTTGCCTGCTGTTCGTCACTGCATCTTCTCCGCTCACCATCTGCGTCTATTTCCATACCCAGACCACCACCCTCAAGACCCAATCATTCAAGATGTGCTCCCAGTATTACCTCAAGTTCGACTGCGGCTGCACCGTTGCGGAAGGCGATGTGGTCTTCTGCGCAAAGCGAGGCACCTCGTGCACCGGAGTGCGAACGCAGATCCGGCGCCGGGAGGGCTACAACTGCCCTGAGCATGGTGGCCCTTAGACCCGGACCCCAATTGTGAGTACTACCACTACCGAAGATCCACCTGCGCAAGACCCAAGACTACCGGATCCAACCGTGGATACACAGAGCATACTATGAAACTAACTGCATGGGTGGCGCAGGCAGACGCCGAGGGAAGCTTAGGGAGGGAGCCTGGCCTGAGCTAGGTACCGGTTTTTTTTGTCACCATCCTGCAGATTGACAAAAGTATTGGGGGCAAGAAGGCAATCAATTGCACACCCTGGAGACCGTCAACAACTCTCCATCTAAGCTCGAGCCACTCATGAAGAAGGCGAGTGAGACAGATTTCTCTCCATCGAGTCTTTTCCATCGGCGCAACCCCAACACCGACATAAAAGCAGAGAAAACCCTCAGAAAAAAGGTGAAAATCCGACCAGAAAAAGCACACCAAAAAAAAAACTCAGCCTCGACTCACGAGGAGATAGAAAGGACGGTCCAAAAAGGCGGGAATGGGGTGGTATAGCTGACTAGCTTTTTTGTTCTTTTGTTCTCATGCTCTTTTTCGCAGTTTGGGAGGTCATCGTTGTTCGCTCATTATGCATTCATCATCATTCTCATCGTGGCATATATATACACTGTTGACACTTCTTACTTTGCTTTTTCTCCTGCCGTTTGCTTCTATGTTTTCTTGGCTGTAGCGTACCTCTTGTCGATCCATTGGGGAGGGGGGGGGGGTAAACTCCATCCCCTCTCTTGTTTTTTGATCTTGGATCTCATTTCTGTTTACACAATCTCGGAGGCACTCTTATCTTGATCGCACACTGTTTTTATGAGCATGTTTTATTCTTCTCATTGTTGTTGTTGTCGGCATCCTTGCACTTTCATTTCTGGCCTTAGGAAGAGGAACAACCATTATTTGCTTTGCCGCTCAGTCAGCTCTTCGCTTTACAGCTTTGCATTGCAACACAATTCCCCCCCTCATATTTCTGTTCTGGTTTCAGATTTCGTCTTTCATAGCTTCCTCTGTCATTGACTATTTTAGCTAGTCACTTATGGCTGAAGCAACGTCTTGTCAAACGACAAGCACAAGCACAAGCATCAGCATCAGCATCAGCATCAGCATAAATGATACACTCTTTTGATTTATAAACTGTTACTGTCTTGAGGAAATCATTTCCGGGATCCTCCCTACAAACCAACCTCTTTGACTTCTGGATCCTCACTGCCCGAGGAACAATGGAGAGAGAGAGAGAGGAGAGGGAGAGAGAGAAACGAACCATCGGATCGAGCTCGGATCTCGGATCTCGTATTGCCTAACCCACTCAGCTACTTGTCAATCGCGTCCAATTCGTAGAACTAGGCGAAGGGCGCAAGTTTTCGTGATTATCATGGATTTTGCCTTTGACGATTCTGAAAGGCATTGTGGTCATTGTGGCAAGGTTGTTTCTCCATGCCCTCCCTGTCCTTGATGCAACAGGGGGAAGAGAGGGGAGGAAAAGGAGAAGAGAAGGTTGTGTGATGAAATAGCCGTGGTGCGTTCCCATGGATAGCGGGCTGTCCCAGCGCCGTGGGCAAATGAATCCACTCTTGCTCAGGGTGTCTCTCCTTTGTTCGTCTGGTCTCAACCGTGGTTCGACCGGCAGTCACACACGTTCGGTTTTGGCCGGGTGTTGGAGCCGCACTGGACAGGTGGAGTCTGACCCAACACAAGCACTAGGTATGCGGATATGATCGAAATCACCCCTGTGACTATTTAATACTATATGTAAGTAGTAGCTTGCTTGCTTGGTGGAAGGGAGATGACCCGCCGGGTCATCGAATCATTTAAATTATCATTCAGTCTAACACGCGAGATGGGATAGAGGGTTTCCCGCAGCTACGCGTCCCGATCCCAAGGCTGGGAGCTTGGAGGCTTACAGCTAGCGGTGCTGCTGTTGAACATTCCAATGCACTATCTATTCTATTTGCCGACGTGACACGTTACCATTTCCTGGTACTGGCGTTTCTGTGAATTGACGGCGGGTTGTTGTAGAAACCCTTCATACATGGATAAGCAGGGATCGGCCGTGGTATTATTCTTGGGTGTTGTGTGTGCGGATGTATGCAGGCTCATGGTCGGTCGTCCGTTCCCCCTGCGGACCCCCAAAGCCAAAGCCTTGACGTTGGAGTGCAAGGGTCCGTCGAGAGAGCTGCATTAGCACCGCATACGCCACTAATCACCTGATGGCGCTACCGGCAAATCACCGAAAGAGACTGGGGCACAGACCCAGGTGATGACTTTGATACCAAGTACCTAAGGTGTTGCCGACTTGTAAACCTTGCAGGCAGCGGCGAACAAGAGGAATAAGTGGTGCCAGCATTCTCGCGGAACTGTCCGTGGCACCTACCACGCGCAGGCAGGCGGGCAATCACCGCGCCTAGAAGTAATGACAAATGGGGAAGGGAGCGGACAATAGTAGTCTGGGTCTGGCATGCGCTAGGTTAGGACTGACTGTCTGCGCGCTGCCCAACGATCGACCTTGGCGTCATAAAGGCAATGGTAGCTTCTCTGGACTCAAGATCTCTGAGACATGATTCAAAGGGTACTGCTTCATATCTGCGACTTGGCTGGCAGGCCCTCACTCACTGTGCTGGGTACAATAACGAGCCTCCCGATGGAGAAATGCAGCGTTACGTGGCGCCCTTGCGGGCGCTCAAATTGCGGCGTCTTGGTAGGCCATCACGTCGGAAAATAATGCGGAGAGATTCCGGCACAGAGATTGGCGCCACGAGGGAGAAATCAACCGGCTGTTGATCCCTGTTTGAGTCCCAGGACGAATAACCCTTGCGATTAATCTAAGCTGTGGATAGGCATGCTTGTCTTTTCACTTGTGCCGCACCACTGCACAGTGCACCATCCTGGTCGTCCGTACCTCATCCTGGGCATTCAAGAAGCTCCAAAAAGAGCCAATAGTAGGCATGATCGAGATGCGCCATTGTTGGGTCCGAGTTTGCTTAGGGTGGTGGGGAGATGTGATAGAGTCCGACCTTGTGGCCTCAGGGCGGCCGTGTCGCAGAGCTGGACCATGGTAGCATCCTGGTCCACCAGGATGTGCCAGCCAATGCGCACTGCTTGGGTAATGACCAGAACAGCGCCGCAGGACCAGTCCTTCGGCCTAGGAGAAGGGAGAACCAGATTGCTGGGACAGTTAAACCCAAAGCGGTGTGCCCACCGTCTGTGCCGGTTAACTTAGGGGTCATGACCTCTGCTGGTGGTTCTCTTCCTCAACGTGGCATAGTCAAATAGACCCAGTAGCAGGGTGATGCCGAGAGTCTCTAGATTGAGGCATTGCTGAAATTGATTGAGAGCATAGGATGAATTGTCGTTGATGATGTTGATGGAAGGCGGTCGGTCACATTGCCCTCAGAACACGTGATAGCCACCGGACCGCCGAGAAACTGCCGAACGATTTCCCTCCCGATCATCGATCGGCTTGACTCTTCCGACTTACTCGTACTGAGTAAGTTAACTTACGTACCCCGTACTAATTAGTCGCCGCACTTCCAACCTTGAACCACCTCATCTCATCAGCTTAGTCCGCCCTTGCCGTCGTACCTGCTCTGCATCTCTTTCCTTGTATAGAGACCGCTTTCCGCACATGTGATGTCCATTGAAGTTGACTGGGGCACAGCGACCTCGGGTCCGGACGGCGAGGCTCTGGCTGAGCGCATTCGCTCCTTCATCCATGACAAGTTCCAGCAGGTAGCTCTTCCGCGATTTATCCGATCCGTTCAGGTCCATTCGTTTGACTTCGGAACCATCCCACCGGAGCTCGAGATCAAAGACTTCTGTGAACCCTTCGCCGATTTCTATGAAGAGGATGAAGACGATGAGGCTTCCGACGTGTCTGAGGAGCTTGTCTCCGGACATGGCACTCAGTGGCATCGCACCGGCTCAGAGCTCAGCGAGCCGCCGTTCCGAGATGAAAACGCCATGCATCAACCGCTTCGCAACCCATTCGATGAGCGGTTTCAGCCATCCGCTCTGCGTTCCCCGATAGCTCTCGGTGACCATCTCAACCCGCACTTCCTTCCTCGCGCCGGCACTCCTGGTATTCCCGGAGGAACGTCAACACTGGGCTATCACCTGATGTCTTTGGGTGGCCTATCAGGAACACAGACGCCTCTGGCTGCGGTTGCCGGCGGAAACCCGTTCGCAAACAGCTGGAATGATCCGAGCAGCATGGGCGCAAGGAGCAGAGGGCCCCTGTCATCCTCACCCTTCGATGCAGTGCATTCGCAACATCCCGAAGCCGACCTCGACAGCAGCAATCCAACCTCACGCCCATCGACATCAAGCACGCTCCCCTCGCACCCGGGTGGTTCTAGCAACGGCGGTGGAGAAGCAGGAGCAGCAGCAGGAGGTAGTAGCAGCCACATGGCACGCACACAGGAGAACGGACACCTTGGCGACTCCGCATCGGCGGAACCTCTTCGGCTGCCTCGACTGCGAGAACGCCGGCCCGAAGATTTGCAGGTTCTGTGCCATGTCAAATATGGAGGGGACGTGCGCCTGTCGCTGACTGCGGAGATCCTTCTGGACTATCCTATGCCTAGTTTCGTGGGCTTGCCCCTGAAATTGAATGTTACTGGCATAACCTTCGATGGCGTCGCGGTAATCGCACACATCCGCAAGCGGGTGCATTTTTGTTTCCTATCCCCCGAGGATGCCGACGCGTTGATCGGATCCGATCAGCAAGATGCCGCAGGAGGGCAGGAAGACAAACCACGGGCTGAGCAAACCAAACGTCATGGAGGATTACTGGAGGAAATCCGGGTGGAAAGTGAAATTGGCCGCAAGGAGGATGGAAAGCAGGTCCTGAAGAACGTTGGCAAGGTCGAGCGGTTTGTTCTGGCGCAAGTGCGACGAATTTTCGAGGAGGAGTTTGTCTATCCGAGTTTCTGGACTTTCTTAGTATGAATGAGCTCAGATGCTCCCAGTTTTCACACGAATTAACACAACAGCAGTGAGTGGTTTGAAATGTCGCTCTGCTGTCCACCGAGCTGGGTCTCGGCACACGCAGAGGGCAACGCAGATGCAACACTGCACTAGCGATAGCTTGTGAATCAGGAACTCCCAAGGATAGACAATTGATTCAGAAGAAAGGCAACGAATAGGCCCTTACTGTCCTTCGACTGCTTGTCTGATTGTTTTCAGCCACGACGCGTTTGATTTTCTCTTTTGCATGTTGGGGTT